AGAACCAAACGGAAGAACCTTGGCAGGAACAGAAGCAGTTTCTGGACAAAGTTGGAAAGAAGAAAAGGATGAACATGGCAGTGAGCCGTGAAATGTAGTGCAGAGGTGGGGGAAGGGGAAAGGAATGGTGTCTAACGGGGATGGAGGATAGAAGGGGAGACAACAACAGATGAAGAGGAAAAAGAATGAAGAAAGGATAATGGAGGAGTGTGGTGAAAGTGGGTTGGGGTTGGGGAGCAGGTGGGAGGGGTAGTATTGAGGATGTGGGGTAAAGGTGCAAGAGAATGTTGGGTGGCGAAGAGTAGGGATCAAATAACCAAAAAGCAGTTTCTCTTTCTTTTTTGTGTTTGTGTATGCACTTGAACATGCGTTTAAAACAGAAACGATTACAACACCATATTTTAAATTCTGTTTTCAACATTCTGAAACTTATAACACGAAACAGTTTCTTGTTACCAAACAGTTCCTCAATAAGGTAACAAGGAAATAATAAGGCAGAATTAGTAAGCTCCAAAAGCATATCAAATTCAAGATGATACCAAAGCGGCTGTTCCAATGTGACAATCATTCAGAATAACTTCTCATATCTTCAACCATTTATGCATCTACTGACAGAATATAGAAACAAAGAAGAGGAAAGATGTCTTCTCTAAGGACCAAAGAGAACACTCTTTTCGCTCCTAAGGAAACATCAGAAAATAACATAATAGAGCAAACACTAACCTGCTTCCAAAGTTCTTCAGCTTCTTTTGTACGACCCCGGATTTTCGCTCGATCAGATATTGCAATGGCCCAATTATAGTAAGCCTGATATAAACAGGAACAAGACATGGCCTGAGATAAATAGGAATAAGACATGGATAAAACATGATAGACCACTTTCCAGACTAAACTCCTCTGAGTCTCCTCTCTATCAACTAATACCTTTCTTCCTTACTGTGTTACAATGCATAAAATATATATATATATATATATATATATATATATATGTATGTATGTATGTATATATATGTATGTATGTATGTATAATAACAAATATATATGTATGTATGTATGTATGTATGTATGTATATATATATGTATGTATGTATATATATGTATATATGTATGTATGTATGTATATATATGTATATATGTATTGATGTATGTATATACAACATAATAACAAATAGAGATTTAAGCACGTGCTAGTGGGAGGGGACATGCGAAAGGGAGTACAAGGTACGATACTACAACATGAAACGACCACATGAAACAGTAAATAAACCTTCAACCAATGAAAACGGATAAACATAATGAATAAAGACTGCACAGCATCACTCATCGTGCTTTTACTCTCAACCTCACCATGGAACAAAAATAATGGCACGGCATTATCCTTTGTGCTTTTACTCTCAATCTCTCCATAAGATGATAAATACGGCACGGCATCACCCTTCGTGCTTTTACTCTCAATTTCATCATGAAACGATAAATATTGCACGACATCACCCTTCGTGCTTTATCTCTCTTTCTCACTATGTATAAATCAATAAATGAAATAATAATTGGCACAGCATCACCCTTCGTGCTTTAACACTCTCTCCCTTACCATGAAGCAATGAATATATAACATTGGGAGAAAGAATAATCAAGAATAAACCTTACATCAACAACGGTTCCATAATCCGAACCTCAACTTTCAATAATATTCAATTATCGCAAATAGTTCATAAATGCAGAAGGAACGATTGGTTAAGTAATAAACTAGTCTAAGCATGGATATCATAATCAAAGAAGGAAATAAATCACAAGAAGCAAGCCTCACCCGTATGTTTTAACCCAACAACAACTCATAAGTACTCGTAACCTCACATATACGGTGTACCCAACATTTAAACATGTAGCAAATAGGCAAACAAGTCCTAATCCCTCAAGGCAAGGTTAACCACGATACTTACTTCACTCCGCAGTCAACTCAGAGCTCTACCGGGGCCTTTCCTCTAAAATCCGTCTCGAAACCACTCGTATCTAACCACAATCGACTCGATAACATCAAATAATGCTAAGGAAATCAATTGAAATACATAAAGATAGGATTTTTACACCTTTCTCAAAAAGTCAAAAATAGTCAACCCGGGCCCGCTTGGTCAAAGCTCGAGGTTTGGACCAAAACTCATTTACCCATTCACCCCCGAACCCGATTATGTAATTAGTTTGAGAATCTGACCTCAAATTGAGGTCTAAATCCCTAATTTCTAAAAAAAACCCAACTCTTCCTAAATTCCTAGTTTTCTATGATGGAAGAACAAAGATTAGAGCTAG